TTTTTTTTTTTTTTCCTTTTTTGCTTCAAAAATAAGCTTTCATAGTTACAACAATATATGCATATTGTGCTAGTATTACATACATATAAGGCCCTGGTGTGACCATGTATCTAATATATTGTGTCACAGAAGCCCAACCTCAGTTGCCTCCATTGTACAATGTATCCGCATATAGGGACGCACGTCTATAGTGGGTATTTTTTTCCTTCTTTTTTCTTTGTTCTAAAATTTAGTATTGCTTGTTTTTTCTTGTTGGAGTTACTTCGGTATAGTACAGTTGGTTTCGGTTCCTTTTGGGAACGTGGGACGGAACAGTGGAAGGCGAATGGCAACGGTTGTTCCATTTTCCACTCGGTTATATTTGTGCGTGTTGGGGGGAACATGAAGGCAGGGGGACGGAGGGAATGAGGAATGTTGCAGCCGATTCCCGTCGCATGTGCGTTGTGTGTGTGCGCGTTGCGTTGTGTGTTGTGTGTGACCTTGCGCGTTGTGTGCACTTACCTTCCATAGGAAGAACGCAATGATGCCAATACCAACCACCGCGGGGATGATCGCGGGGGTGTACGGGATGAGATCCTTGGGGTCGAAGGGTTTCGAGGGAAGGATCCAACGCGGGAGCAGAGAGAGGCAGGGGACGGGACGAAGGAACACACATATTATGTGCGGGAGCAAGAACGAGGGAAGGAAGGCGGCAACGACGGTAGAAGCGAATTGATGTTGTTATTACTGCGGGGTTTTTGGGTGTACGCACACAGAGAGACACAGTGTGTGAAAGGCGTTTAGTGGAGACTTGTGTAGACAGGGGGGAGGGGGTATTCATGTCGAGTTGTGTGTAGTGTTTGTCCTATTTGTTCTTGTCTACCTTTGTTTCTTATTCTTCTTTACGGGGGGAGATTTTTCATGTGTGCAAGAGGAGAGAGTCTTCTCTGTGTTGTGTGCAGGATGCTGTTATCAATTAGTAGAGGTATGTTTTTTTTCGTTCACTTGCTTTGTCGTGTTTCTCTTTTTGGATTTCTGTTTTTCCTTCTTCCAAATCCCACGCGTTATGGGATGTGTGATTAAATTCAGATAGGGACAGTTTGTTCATGTGAGATGTTTCCGAAGGCACCCTATACTGGAAGACACGTTCCATTCCATATGAAACTCAATAATACATAAGAGAATATTGTGCGCATATTATACTCAAGCCGTTATCTGAGCGATAATGCTTTCATACGTTGGACTACATTGCTGCATCCTAGTGAAAATATGTCGTATGAGACGTTGGGAAAGTTATTAGCAAAATATGTGCGGGAAAGGGCACTAAGGGCGGATGAAAAAGCATATACGGTAATTAATTGTGAGGGCAAAATGGAGTGAGCAGGCGCCTACATATATATATAGGTGGTCGAAAGGCAGGGTACGCAGTTTGCAGCATACATATGTTCACATTTCGTGAACGGGAAGTCATATGACCGATGTGAGCATAGCATACCTCTTACAGAATGTAATACAGGCCAGGGCAAAGTGAGCATCCACCTGTTAACAAAGAAAAATGCAATATATGTACTTGCCCCTGCATTACTCCAATTGTAGGACAGTTTATGGAAAGATATAAAGACGCTACTCGACGAATTTGTGGAATATATGCACAATGATAACCTAGACATCTATGCAGCTAATTGTTCAAACACGGGTTACAAACGTCCGGGACAGGGAAACACACTGGTCATAGCTAACGTGGGCGATAGAATTATGTGCACACTCATGTCACGAGCATTATTTTTCATGAACAGGTGGCGCCCCGGGTCCGCGAGCGCGGACCAGACAGACACTACTAGTGCAGCGTTGAAGGAACATATAAGGTGCGCCATAGTAAATATATTCATGTACATATTGCTGGCATCTCCATGCAAAAGTCAAATGGGTGTATATTATGCATGGTACACCATGAAACAGCTGGAAGACGGGCTACGGCCTGGTTTAATAAACGACGGTAAATGTGCACAGGGAGTGTTTCAAAACATAAAAGCGTCAGAGTGGAATATGGGCAAGAAAATTAAGAACTGGTTAGAGAGCAACAAGAGCTTGACTGAAAAAATTGGAGGCCAGGGTATAGAAAGCACATGTACGAAAAAATTAGCACAACTTGACGGGGCAAGGCAGGACGCAAATGACATGGATGACAAAATAGAACTGAGGCCAGAGGAGAAAACAGTTATACAGAAATTAGGCCAAGAACTGAAGGTCATAGTTGAGGAGGTAAAGAAAGCCGCAGTGCAATGCGCGCAGGCAAATGGAGCATGCATGGAGCCTATCGAAGCTGTCTCCCGTAGCGATCCTGAGGATAATGACACTCAGGCCACAGTATCGAACTCTGTCGCCGGAGGAACAACAGCAACGGAACCGACAGGTAAGGACCGATGGGAGAAAGCACGAATACGCGACCCGATACGGCCGCTAACGTTACGATCCGTACGACTGCGCATACGGATGCGGCCACCACAATAACACGCACGCGCGAACAACAACGCACACGGTGGAACGGCCAAACGCACGGTGACACAGCACAGCAAACGACTTCGGTACCCCCACTTCGGTTGAGCGGCGAGCGTAGAGGTGCGGCGATGAGTGTGCGGTGGCCACGACGGGAGCGACGAGCGTACCGTGCAGCGGCCACCGTAGAATTGCCAAGTGTGCGGGGCGGCGTCACAGTGGTGTGACCGTGGTGCGTGGGGATGGAGCGGCGACGAGTGTAGAGCGTACGGGATTTATGGATACGGACTTATATGTGGATAGTTTGTTAGAACATTTTTGCGATATTAAAGAAGGAGTGTATACATCGTTCCCGTGACAAACTCTGCCATAATAGATATTGCTATGACACATGTCGTACTGATACGTATCGTAGGCCTCCCTGAAACCTCAGTTTTATTAAAGGATCTGGCTGGTGCTACTACATCTTGATCCGTAGTTGTTATATATTTTTCGTAATCACATATACCAGAGTTTGTATGATATTATCACAAAACCAGAAAGAGAGAAGAAATGGTCCTACAGCAGAACAATCTGTTCGATTTCTCACCTATAGATCCTGA